TACAGGACATCCTATGCCCCAAGTGCCATTTACCCCGATTATTACACCCGACTGATGGCAAAGGTGCGCAAAAGCCTGACCCGGCCGTCATCTACTGCAAGAAACACCCATACATTGACAAACCCGGATGCGACATCTACGGCCAGAGTTGGGTGGCGCCCGGCCCAGGACGAGGCAAGAAGAAGAAGGACGTAGAGAAGAAAGAAGATGGCACTCCAGAGCAGCGACCGCCGAATGTGCTTTCATTTCCGTCCGCCACGTGCAGTAAATGCAAGCGCTGTATTCTCGTCACCCGGCTGAATAACCACATGGGCTCGTGTATTGGCAATAGCGGCCGAAACGCCAGCCGAGCTGCGGCCCAAAAGCTCAACGGCAATTCTCAAAACGATTCCACTCCCCCGTCATCACAAAAGGCGACGCCGGCCCCTGGCTCTCGCGCCGCTAGTCCCAGGAAACGAGACGCCAGCGAGGAGAATGAAGACTCCGACGCGAGCCATCAAAAGAAGAAATTGAAAGCTACCCCTAACCTGACCAAAAAGGTCATCATCAAGACAAAGCCGACACTGAAAAAAGAGAAGCCCAAGGGATCGTCCCAATTGAGTCAGGAGCACAAATTGGACAACTCGTCCCCGGCTTCCACCAACGGCAAGGGGACGCCAAAACTAGCAAAAAATGGGAGTCCAGTCAAGAAGATCAAAGCCTCCAAACCGATTCAAACTTCACCATTGCCGAAGAGAGATATTGACGGGATGTCTGAAATATCAGATACAATGTCATCACCGCCCGGAAAGTAGATGGTGGTGAAGCGGCTTGGCACACCATTCACGCCAAGTCCGTCCTGCACAACACACTTTGCCGTAAACTTGCAAATGATAATGTCTTTGGCAACACACATGCCACATACCCGGTGGACGGATAGCTTGGTCATTAATGGCCACCACGCTTGGATACAAAACAATCACATGGATATAGAAAAACAATCTCTTCGTCGTTCTTGATGCCCGGGGAGGCAGTGGAGAATTACTTTTGTATTATTTTCAGAACCCTACTGCATCAGGCGAGCGGCCGGAACTTTGGCTATGGGCCTGGGGGATATTCTTAGCATTCACGGACAGCAATTGGTCCATGGCGTTGGGTGTCTTTTAATCTTTTGCGTCTGGCAGATTTGAGTTGCTTAAATATAAAATGGGTTGGGGATGAATAGAGTTCGCGCTTCTATTCTCTAATTATGCGAAATATTGTCATATCTAATCAAACCGTGAAACCTCTGTGCAACTCCAAACTCCATTGCTCCCCGGAACGTCACAGTCAATGTACCACTTTCCAATTACCTCATCATCCAATTTAGAATCACCCAACTCCTCATCCTCTTCGTCCAGTACCCTCCCCTAAACAATCTTGACCTCTTCCACGGGCCGGTTCCTCTGCCCCGGTCATGACCATTCGCATACTCGTCACGACACCCATGCCCCTCTTGGCCTTGCCAAAGATGGTCTGCTTCCCATCCAACCACGGCGTGGGTGCGAGCGTACTGAAGAACCGAGACCTATTGGAATTTGGCTCGGCGTTGGCTATGCTCAGCACCGCAGCGCCGGGTGGATCTCGTTTCGAACTTGTCGCCCTAGATGGAGGAGCCACCACGGCCGGTACCTATGGGTCACCGCCTTGAACCGCGACGTTGAGAACATTGCGGCGAAAGGGCGTCGACTTGCAGCAGGAAGAGAGTGACGTGGGTGGTGAATTTCCTGCGGGTTTTGGCGGCGTGAAGCTGTGTAGAGCTCGAGTGAAGTGGGATGATGAGGCTGACGATTTGGAGCTGCAGACGGAGCCCCGGCGGCGGCAGGTGCCATTGGTTGGTTGTCTTCAGCTATGACCAGGATCACGGACAGCATAATTTGACCCCAAGGCCAGGTGGCGGGTGGGCCTGAATCCGTCAACATTTGAACTTGGACCGGACACATCACCACGGCTTGCTTGCCTTTAATAAGAGCAGAGCGCAGCCGCACCCACTGTCTTTTACGATAACGATTCTCCCAGCCCATACTCTGCAGACTTTACTCTGCAGACTCCTCGGCGTTCTACCATTCTGCTTTTGGAGCAGCAGACAATGGACTAGCGGCTACTCTGCGTCCACAGCCAACCAGCGACATCGATACGCCCATTTTAGCACCTCACATTACTCGATGCTTTACAGTTGACAGCAAACATCATCACCACCACCATGGCATCGAACACAACAACAGCCTTGGCAGGCCCCCTCGACACCCTCAACACCACTGCCAACGTCACAACAACCTCAACATCACCACTTGGATTCCTTCAAGACCTCGACTTTGTGGTCCTCGAACTCAAACTCGTCGTGTCCGTCCTGGGAATCATCTATGTAGGTTCTCATGCTGCCGTCCGCCGCCCCCCTTCCGCCACACCCCCCAAAAAGAAGCAGCCCGGTCAAAAGTCAGACGATGATGACCGCTTCTCACAAGGGCTTGAACCCTCTGACGCAATCCTGTTTCCTATCATGGCGGGCATTGTGCTTGTCGGACTGTACTATCTCATTCAATGGCTTAAGGACCCAGCTATCTTGAACAAGATACTGAGGTACTACATGACCACTGCGTCAATAGCTAGTATCCTGACCCTTTACGCACACGGTATGGACCTAGTCACTTCCTTCGTATTTCCGAGTTATTGGCGCGGGAGGAATGGGTCACTCCGAAGAGTTGACCAACGCAGTAAAACGGTCCAGGTGTGTGACGACTTTGGAAATGCCGGTGCTGCGACGGAAAAGAATCCACTGCCTGGCATATTCGGTGTGTTTTTTGTTACGGAGAGAGCACAGAAGGCGGTCTGGGAGCTCAGAAGTCTGCTCACCAGGCACTGGACGATAAAGCTGTTCATTCATGGGGTGGGAGAAGAGGCGGCCAGGATTCGATTTTCGCACATGATGGCCCTGTTTTTGTCATTGGCCACGGCGCTGGTGTACTTTTCGACGAATTCCACCTTTTTGTCAAATATGCTTGGGTATGGCATGTGTTATGGGAGTCTTCTTATCCTATCACCAACGGATTTTTTGACGGGGAGCCTGGTGCTGTGGGGGCTGTTCTTTTATGATGTTGTCATGGTGTTTTATACGTGAGTACATCGCTAATCAGACCCCTTCTTGTTCGTTGAGCAATGCTAACCGCCGGTAGCCCTTATATGGTCACCGTCGCCACAACTCTCGAGGTTCCTATTAAACTTACTTTCGAAGTCGCATCGCGCAAAAGCATCCTTGGTCTTGGAGACATTGTCATTCCCGGCATGGTCATCGCCTGGGCACTTCGTCTTGACCTGTGGCTACACTACGTCCGTAAAATCAAGTATGAACCAACTGACCTAACTATTGTCACAAAAGACGACTCCTCTGGAGAAATTGTCCGTCGTAGCGAGACCAAGCACAAGGAGGTCAAAGCTCGTTACATCGACGTCAAGAACAAGTGGGGTGAAGGTCTTTGGACTCGCAAGAACTTTTTCCTCTCATGTCCATCGGAATTGCCGGTTGAGTTGGCGGGCGCTCGATTCTCCAAGACATACTTTTACGCTTCCATGGTAGGATACACGCTCGGCATGGCGGTAACGCTAACTATGCTGCTGGTTTTTAAGCGCGGACAGCCAGCGCTATTGTATCTTGTTCCGGGTGTTTTGGGGTCGATGGTGATTACAGCGCTAGCCAGAGGGGAGTGGAAGGATATGTGGAAGTATACGGAGGATGGGAGCCTGGATACCGTGGATGTGGTTGTTGATTTGGACGGGGAGGGGAATGCCATTACGACGATAGGATTGTTGGAGGATGGCATTGTGGACACGACCAAGGACAAGAAGGATGGGACAGACAAGAAGGAGGACGAGTGTGAGAAGAAGGCTGTGGAAGCAAGCTCCAGGGAGAGCGCAGCGAGAACCGGGCACAAGGTTTTTTTGCTGTCCATAGAAGCACCGCCGGAGAACGAAGAGGAGTGATGATGGACCAGATGGCGTTTCGCGGTGTGTTGATTAGGAATAGACATGATTTTGTTAATCTGGATATTGCGCCATGTGTTTGAGGGTATACATTGCATTTTAGATTATACTATGGCAGGACAAGCAGTCGCCAGGGGATGGCGTATAGCGTATACGAAGGATATACCAACTCGGTGGCCAATTGATGCATGTAATAATGGCGCTTCTTCCAAATACCATTCCGGATACTCCCAACGATAATCACTGTCACTCGTCTCTAACCCCGGGATCTCAACACCGGGGCACCAGACGCGGGAAAGTCGTTCATCTGACTTGGTTAATGACGGACGTCGACATCTCGCTACTCAATGCTGGTCGTTTGACACCACTCAAAGGGCGTTGGAACATGCTTAGCATGCGCATAGTTTAGTCTGATGCGCGGCAGTTGCCACCATGCTCTTCTGGGTTGTGTTGTCGCCTCCTCTACGTCGCCTCGCTGGCCAACAGTGAGCTCACCTCGCTCTCTGAACCATGACGCTTGAGCATAATATTCGGCTTTGCGTGTTGTTTCCAGAAACCCGTTTGAGAGGCTAGCTTGATGAGCGCTGCATCACGGATACTACGGCGAGGGAAAGGCCACTTGTAACTACCATGATGGGAGGCATAGCTGGGTTTTCATAGTGTTGGCGGGTCGAGGTGTTGAATTGGCGCAGCGGTGACTCTTGCCACGGCTCTGTGTTGCCCTGATGTACCGACGATTAATTTATACTTGGCTGAATCGTAGGGTCGACGGGGGAAACTCGTGGCTGGATGCAAAGCTGGGAATCATTCAACGTTTGTAGTTCAACAAGCACGCTGGCTGGCCTCAACATGTATACTGCCACATCACCGCAAATGATGAGATTTAGGAGAGCTCCAGCTCTGTTAATAAGATGCGGTCATGAACAGTGCGTAGGCTTGGAAGCATAGTTATGAAACTTTATTATACTATTAGCTGTTTGTTGTGTGCCAACTTGGGCATGGATCTAACACCATCCGTAAAACTGAGGCGCAACCAATGTTACCTCGCGCTCATTCTGCTCATGTAACCGAACACATGGAATGTCATCAAACCGTTCCTTAAAAATAACATGGGCGCCAGCTCCCAGTTGGTCGGCAAGCAAACCTCCTGCTTTTACGACTTGGACTGTTGGCTCCCACATCACGACCTCTTTCAGACCGTGTGCGCATGCTTCTGCAACGGCCGCATGGAGAATCTTTGCAATCGGTTCTTCCATGCCCTGAAGTCGAGCTGTGCCAATTTGTCCGATAAAGAGCTTGCGTGAACGAAAGTCGTGAACCCACCAAGCCCACGCCGTTATGCTCCTTATGCTTTGGTATAAAACTCCTTTCACAGGCGACTGCTCCCAGGACTTGCCAGATCCTAAATGCCACTTTAATGCCAATGATCTCACCAAGTGCCATTTCAAAACATCATTGGTGCCCAAGACCTGTGCAAACGTTCTCTGGGTACTTCGAAGAGCCGAGAGCCGAAGCTTTGCTGTGTTGACTTCCTGAAGACAGAGCTCGGAGAGGTCATCCGGTGTGAGTGTACTCATTTCGTCATCGTCTGGCGGCTTTAAATTAGATTTACTGCCATAGCTTATGCGTTGCTGGTACACGGTCTGAGGCTTCTAACCCAGTCTGTCGTATAGTTCGGTGTTCACGCCGCTGTAAATGATGCTGAACCCCACGCGCTCCTTTTCCATGCCGTCCAGCACTTCTTTCACCTTGGTCAGCAACTTGGTTGCCATCCCATTCCTTCTAAATTCTGAATGCGTAAATATGTCGGTGATTAAAGCTGCCTTGACGGGCTCCATACCCCTTCCGCTGTTCACGATTGCCTCTCGCAGGTACACGCTGCAGCTAGAGATGATGGTATCTGGGTCACATGGCTTGAACAGGACCCAACACTGCATGGTTCCCACATCGGCAGCGCTTTTAGCTAGCTGACTCTGCATGTGCAGATACTGCTGACGGGATAATGGTGCTGCCCGCATTTGACTGTTGTTTTCGAAATGACGCGTTATCTGTTTTGAAGTTGCTCTGGCGCACACCAAATCTTCGCCGGCTGCATCAGTCGATACTTCCGTAGCCATATTGCAAATCAAGCAACGATAGAACCTATGAGTCAGAAGGATACGGAGAGTCTCGTTCACGATACGAATTTGCTTTGGAAGATCAAGTAAGAACCTGGTATGGCTCGGCAGTATCGTAGGAGATAAAATTGGAGAGAGCGAGACCAAAACGACCCAGTGTGCGGAAAGTTGGGTTCGTACATAAATTACCAGGAAGAATCAATGCGGCGAAAATTGTTCAATCAAGCCAGCCAACCGGCCTAATTCTGGCAGGTGCATACCGTCAATGAGTTTCCATATGGCATATTGCCTGTTGCTTATCGCACAGTGCAATTTGGCAAGTGCTTTGGAGTAGACCGCCCCAGTTGGCAGTCGAAGTGCTCACCTTGCTTTCCATCTCTGAGCTGCTCTAGAAGAGAATCACAAGTCCATCTCCCGATTCAAGTTAACAACCCGCAACTGCCTGTCTCTATTTCCTTTATCGGGACTTCTCGACGCTACGTGTCCACCACGCCTCGCAGTATGACCCATCTACTCGATACGGCAATTGTGAATGGAGTCATGGCGCTCCTGCCTCTCAGGTTGCACTCATTCTTTCAGTTTCTAGTACCTGCCTGCCTGGTTGCCTGGTTGCCTGGGCCGGTACATAGGTACTAAGTAGGTACCGTAGTAGTATGTATTGTAACCAGACCCTTGCAAGGACTCCTACGGCACTGGCAGTCCGTCTACCTACTAGGTACCTAGTAGGCACTTACTGGCAAACATGGAGAATCCAACTCTGGCATTATTCCACAATAACATTGTCCACACGCGTGAGTTCCTCCTTGATCAGACTCTCTCCAAATATATACTCTCGCCCGCCTTAGCCGCAGTTTTTCAATATCAAAAGCCCCCCCCTATTACTCCATCTGGATACTACAAGTGCCGAGTTCGGGGTCGGCGGTCTAAACCTTAAGTGGTCTGTTTTCAGTTCCACGGTGACTTGGCAACGTTACTGCGAACGCCGAAGTTGGAGTATTACGGAGTAGCAGGGATGGAAAACCACACCTACGAGGGACGGCAGCTGATCTCAGCCCATACAAGATGCTGTCATTCGCCAATTCCACCAAGCATGTTTGGTACGATGCTGCAGGTTCTTTCAGTGAACCAGACTGTTGGGAGAGACGCAAGCCCGCTAACACATCTTCATGCACGACCCTGACCTTACGGGACCCAGTTCCCACCCATCCTGAACCCTGGCCAGAGTTGCACTTACAGGGCCTACAAGGTTCAGGTTCATGTACTCCGTATGTATGTATGATAATTAATTGCTGGTCAGTGTGTCCTCGATCAGATCTGTGGATCTGTTAACCGCCATCCCAAAGACCAGGTTGACAAGCAGCCTCTTCCTCACATGATGTGTCATTGCTAATTCGCCGTTGGCCGCCCGCTCAGCTCTCGACTTGTCGCGTCGTACAACGCTAGCATTGTTCAGCATTGGCTCTCGGATTTTTAGCAAATTCGAGAAGATTATAAAGCCGTTACTGCGAACACTCCTCCGCCTTTTCCAAGCCCGGGTCATACAGTACAACGTGCAACGTCATGCTGGCATGTCTCGCCTTGCACTTGACGGATCCTGGTAACCGTGCTGGCGGCAAGGTCCCTTCCGGAAGACGAAATCACATGAGGTGTCGAATTAATTTGGATACGGAGAGTCAGGAAATCTGATACTACAACAGTCACGGAGACCAAGGTCAGAAATCCGGCATCTCCTTTCATTTCTCTCGTAAGACTGAAGCCAAGTTTTCAGCTTTTTTGAGTCAGTACATCAACAAAATTCTATCGTCAAGAACGGGCTGTTCTTGGGCAAAACAAGAGTCTACTCCCCCGGCCAAACGCCGCCCGTTCTCAAGTTGAGGTCGTAGGACCGCTTGCAAGTCTTCACCGCCCCAGCACAATCCCCCTTTTCGTAAAGGACTTGGCAAGCAAAGCTGGGCATCTGTATGGAAATTTTCACTCTTAACCGTGACGTGTTTCCTCCGAAAATTTGCGGCCACCCTGCTCATATCACATTTTCATCTGAAGATATTACAAAGACCCGGGATGGACCCACACACCATTTCGCCAACGTTGCCCGCTGACGAGTACAACCTGCTGGCAAATACAAGTTTTGCGTCTCAGATTCCTCATCTGAACTATCGCGAAGCGAATGCCTAAGCGTGGAGGTGGCCAGGACCGCACGGTATATCTCAAATGGACGCTCGGCCGGTATGACATAGAGTGGTTATCTGAACGGGTTTGCGGCCAAGCATCACGACACATTTCCCCATGAGGGCATTTTGCCGTAAAGATGATGAGTCAAAAAAAAGCCCAACCAAATATTCAGCCACCGGTCCCCCTTTTCAACGTCATTGCCAGGTCGAAGCGAGAACAAAAACTTATATGTTCTTGCAGCGCCAATATGTTTGCAGCCCCGTGGCCTGACAGTTCGAACTACGTCATTCTGCCAATTTGTCCAAGTAACACGCTGCAATTCAATATCATCACGCAGTTACACCACCTTGGTTTCCCTTCCTGTAATACGGCCAAAGGGCCCGCGTTTCACCAGGCTATTCCCCTTTTTTCCATCCTCCACGTTACCATGAGTTTGCACCTGAAGCCCTAACCCAGTGGTTGCGCCACCAATGAGAGCGGCTGGTTGGCTGTGTTTTTGGCTTTTGGAGTTTCAAATACTGGTTGGGGCTGTAATTAAGTTCTTGGCATGCAACTCGGGCCGCCTGCAAAGCACATTGTACTACATGTGTCTTACAAGACGGGCCATTCTGCTACCTATCGATTAGTAAACAGATTATCGGTTAAATGCATGACTGGGAAAGTGTCCCGATCGATAGCCAACTCCAGGCTCATGCAGATCTGAACGTAATATAGTGAGTTAGTGGGTGGGCGGATTTACATTTGTTCACTGCCGGCATGGTTTTAGTGGGCCGATGTGTGTTTGACTTTCAGGAAGTGAGGACTGCATTCACTTGCGCTGGCGAAGGCACGTAGCCTACAAGTCATGTGGCACAGAAATGGGGTCGTTCAAATTAACCTTTTCCAAATCCCATCATAGCTTTGCGCAATTTCCTTGGTTTTCCTATACTTCGAACACCATGTGCTCGCACACTTAACGCCCTCCAATCTATATGTCCGTTACTCCAAATTTCTTAACTCCGTGATCTCCCATTGCGCCGTGCCGTATATTTGCTGTGCCAAAATTATAATAGCATGATGAGTCTGCGACCGTTAATTCTTAGCGTGAAAGACCCTTGTCTTAGGATATGATATCTCTAGCCCCTGACCAAGTCGGTAATTCAGCTCGACATGAAGAACCATGCCTTCCCAAGCAAAGACGGCTAAATTTGCGTGATCGGCCCAACTTCGATCCATCTGGCGGGCCCAAATATAGTTTCCAAAGCAAAAGAAAGAAAGAAAAAGAAAAAAAAAAGGAGGAAGGAGGGAAACAAAGAGAAAGAGAAAAAGACAGCAAAAACTTCGGTCCAAGTGCGTAAACCGGTTGGCGGAACCCGAAAGGGGGAGATGATTGAGGTAGAACCTGAGTTCGTTTGACGTTGACGAGAGCAAACCGCCATGGTGCGTTCCGCGCCGAATACAATACAATCAATCGTCGTTGACCAGCCGCGAACCCTGACTGCAATGATGAAAACGAAATATCTTGGACCCAGTAAAGGAACTGGAGAATTGTGAGAAAGAAAACTCAGGATTTGCCTTGCCCGAAGGCGACGTCTCGCCATCTTACACCCGCATTAATGCCATTCTAAAATCTGATAGAAGTCGCGCGGCAACTTCACAAGTCAGTATGCTATACTCACTTAGTGAAAATCACATGGCGTGCCACAATAGCCGCAATTCCTGCCAGGAATAACCCACACTTCCTTTCCCTTAAGAGCGCAAGTTGGGCATCTGGTACCAGGAATCTACCTCGATAGTTAGCCATATGTTTTACCATATCACAGAAAACATTCTAGCCGTCAGTCCACACGAACCTGAGCTCCGTAGCTGATGATGTCATTGATATCAACAGGGTCTGGTGTAGCAGTGGGATTGATGAGGACATTCCAGCTCAGGGAAACCGATGAAGTGAGCTCGGCACCGCGAAGGGGGTTGCTATGCAGGACCATTTTGCGAAACAGTTAAGGGGGCAGCAAAGAGCACACTTTGTATAAAGACAGAGGTCGTGTAATAGGTTGAAGCGATTAGGTCAGGATTGTACAATGTTGGTCAACAAAGTCGAGAAGTCGAAGTGGGTTCGGAATATTGCCTTCACTTGATAGTACCTCTAGTGGATGGATAAGAATTTGGGAAAGGGCGCGGTAGCCGTGAACATTTATAGTTTTTTCAGGTCGCGAATATGATATGATTGAAGAGAAAACAAGGTTGACGAGTGAATAACAAGGTAGGGGTGTAAGTTAATAACTCCCAGGCACAGGTCGTCGCTGAACAGGGACCAGAGCAAAGCGGGAATGGGCGGAAACCATGATTCTGGATACCGGGCTAAAGCTGTGTCAGTGCTGTGTACTAATATGGACTTAGACTGGTTCTGACATCTGGTGATGGATAGGCGGGCTGGTGCTGGACGGGAAAACTATGAGCAGACCTGTCATATCAAGTCTGAGACGCTGGAAGATGCTGCCACTGCTCGGTCGTCGGGGGCCCTAGGGGCGTGTAAGGGCCGGAAGAGAGTGGCATTGGTGGCACCTCTCGCCCTTGAAAAACATTGCGGAGCAGCATGGGCCGTCCTGGATGGAGAGACATGGGAGGGGCGTATCCTGGGGACGGAGGAGGAGTGTATTCTCGGTCGGTTTTCGGTTGGCTTGTCCGGGGAGAAGGTGAGTCGTCTTCAATCTTGCAGGAGCCGTGAGCCCGACTACCGGATAAGCTAGCTGGGGGCAATGGGGATGTCTTGTTGGTTGTGGCGGTCACGTCACCGTCGATGTCAGTCAATTGGTTCATCGTGGACAAGATGTTCATCATCGAATGATGGCGGTGACGCAGAACGCTTGGGTGCTGGATTTGCAAACGCAGGTCAAGAGACCTGCAGACCACCGCAGACTGGAGGGACCAGGGTGCTGAGGCCTAGTTTGCCAGTACATTTGCTCTTGCAGCCCCCATCAATCCATTGGTCCCTCTCAGCTCGATATGGCTGGACTGTCAATGCTAGCCACATCGGTTGAGCCCCTGGAACCGTCTTTCTAACTTTCCGGACCAACTGGTTGGGTGACGGGGGCACAAGGCTAAGCAGGGATGCCACAGCGATGCCACAGCAGGCCAGGATGCGATATGTTGGAGACTTTGCTTTGGGAGCCCTCAAGTCGAGCGGCCAGCATAGTGACGAGTTAGGGATCGAGATCTATTAGGATTTTCTTCTATTCTCAGTCTTTCTCGGCATCGACACGACCGACTGACTTCGACGGGACCAGAGTTTGACGACCCGACGGGGCCGTGACGAGGACATTTGGACAGTTTTTGGCTTCTGGGTGACGCGCAAATCTCATGCATGTCTGGAGTGTTTGCAGGGGAGAAACACCTCGGATGTGGGTCTGCGCAACAGACAAGAAACGTACGATATGGTATTGTATTTTTTTTCTCCATACGAGGATTGCGAAATCCCATTTGCATTTGTGCTTCACCCTTTCTGCCGTCTGCAATGGACCAGACACTTGCCTTGCCGACCGACAGCCCACCCCTGGCTGGCTGGCGCATGAGGCAGGCGTCGCCCAAGGCGCATCTTTCAGGGAGGTAGTTACCAGGCATTAGGCACCTGGTGGGTAGCATGCGAAAGTCCTTACATTCGACGTCCATGCAAGAAGCAAGACCGGTGGTTGCTGTTTCCAGTCACGTCAGGGCAGTTCTGTGCGGCAATGCGGACCCGGCCTGGCAATCTAGGTACTTGCACGGGATAACCGGTATAGACCAGATACCTAACCTACTGGGTACCTACCTAGGTACCCAGGTACCCAGTAGGTTACCCTCTGCCTTACGAAGTACATCGTGTGCAGCCCCTGATTCTGGACAGGGGAATAGCGGACGAAGATGATCTTTTTCTTTAGAGTGGGTGTCTTTAGTCTATTTTTAGTTCCGGTCTTCATCAACGCTTAGGCTGTCTAGTTAAAGCTGACAGACTGTTGAACTTTCTACGCTACCAAAGCCACCACTCAGTGCACCATGGCTGGCAGAATGCTCTGCCGTCAGACGAAGTCGAGGCATGTGCGGAGTACAATATGTACAGATCACTTTGACAGAACACTCCATGAGCTAACCTTGCGAACGTCGCCAAGCAAGTGGGGTCCCTGTTTTGTTGCTTCCAACATCGACCCCACCAACATTGGAAGCAAGGCGAAAGAAGGAATGGGACGTCATGTTTACTCACGAGCAACAAATGACTCCACGGTGCTCCCCATCTGCATAGGCGGTTTTCTGGACAACTGCGCTCCTTTCCTTTCCACTACAAGGCCAGATTCAAGAGGAAGAAATGGCACAGGACTTGATGCTTTTTCAGCTTCAGGGGTGTAGCGCTGTGGCCCCCACACTGGCCTTCACGATTGCCTCCCGTCGGTTTGCCGCCAAGTTGTGGTTCTCTGACTGGCATGCAAGCCTCTTTCGAATGTCGAAAAATTATCGAACGCTTCTTTTCGATTGAGGTGCTCTGCGGTGGGACGCACCAACCCCGGGTGCGCTTTTCGCGAGACTCCATGGCCTCGTATGTACAAAGTAGGGAGTCCGGACTCTATAGTTTGCTATTCTCCCTATCACCAATGCTCGTCGCTAACCTGTAACCCGGTAGTTATGTGAAGCTCATTCAGATGTGCCAGAGTGGGTTCAATGTATCGAAGGAGCCAGGAACTGGGACAGGGCAAGGACTTGACATTCTGCCTGTAAAAGCTCCATATGTGATGCACGGTGTCAATTCAATCTGTATGTACGTACGTTGGCCGTTTCTGGATCTGTGCTCTTGATTAAGCTCGATTACCGGTGGGTTTTTGCTGATCAAACATACATAGCTTCCGAGGCACTTAGCTCGTATGGATAGATTCATGACGTTTGCAACAAAACCGTGCCGCTCGCCAGCACTGCCGTATGTCTGACAGGATTTTCGGCCTCACACCCCATTGAGATGCATTCGCGTTCGCTAATCCTGGTCCACAAACGATGACATATAATAGTCGATTGGGAAAATTGGATATAGTTCGACAAAGGCAGTGGTACGCGCGCTACCACTCCATTTGCGCTATACAGTTGGGGCCTCAAGTAATCGCGATCCTGGTCGAGGAGTGCCTTCGACCTGTTGTTGTCCAATGATAGCACGATATCGGCCCCGGCATGTCTTGTCAAACAGACGGCGAACCGGCGCAAATCCGAGGCCCATGCGGTGCATGCATAGCTGCATCACTTGGTTACACCTGCATTAGTCCCAGGGCTGCATATCCAGTTTGCTGACTAACGTGTCACCCCACAACATCGTCAGCCCCCCATTTTCGTCATATCCAGGGCTCTATCACAACACATTGAAATTAAGGCATTTTTCAACGAAAAGGGCATATATTAGCTATCTACAGCTAGAACGTAAATTCCATATCAGATTAATTTATGCCTGTAATTTTAAGGGCATCTTCTTTAATTATGTGGCCGTGATATTCTTTATAAAGAGCTGTTATATAGTTAGCTTTAGCTTTAGCTTTAATAATATTAGGGATAATAATAAAGGCTTAATTAATGTCGGTTATAGCGTAATATATTTACTTAAGCTTAAATCTCTTTACTATTATAAGGCGTTTATTAAACCTATTATTTATTTATTTTCTGCTTTTTTAGTATTATAGGCTTATTTTTACTATTATCTTTAACGATAAATTAAAGAGCTCTTTTAATATTAATAGGAAAAATGCTAGTAGCTTAAAATTCGGCTTAAATATTTATTACTATAAAGGTCTTCTTAAAAGCTTTCTTATAAGCTTAAATAAATCACTGTTTTTACCGTGGTAATAAGATATTAAAATTAATAATACTAGCTTACTATTAATAATAATAGGTATTTAAGGGCCTAAAAACGCTTATATCTAGTAGTTAGGTAATATATAATATCTTTACTAAAAGAAAAAGAAGCTATACACGATTAATATAAGCTATATATATTAATTCAATTAAAATGTGTAACTTAACGCTATTTAAAATAAGAATACACTATAAGAAGGGGTTTTTAGGCGTTATTTCCGGTAAAAAGACCTTTTTAAACTATTTTATTATAATTTAAGTATTAGTTTAACTGGAATTATTATAGGTAAAAGCCTAATATAAAAAATAATTAAGAAACTATTACCCTTAAAGCTTTAAGCCTTTTAAGATAACTATAAGCTTAATATAATAACCTATAGCGCTTATATATTTAAGAATTAAAGCTCACTTATAAGAAGACTTTATTATTCTTATTAAATATTTAATAAGGCTACTTTTAATAACCTTATTAGCCTTAAAATTCCCTTTTATAATACTAGTTTCATTAAAGTTTATTATAGCAGCTAGGTAGCTTACTAGCTTCTTTCTCATATAGAATTTAATTTACTAGGTCTTTCTCTTATCTTTATAATAATTATTAAGAGCTTACCTTAGCGTCTTAAATTAATTAATATCCGCGAAGTTAATTATAAAGGGTTATTTAAGAAAGACTATAATCTTAAGCTACTTAAACCTTTAAAAGGCTAGAATTAACGTCTTTAATAGCGGCTTTAATTCTATTCTTACAAGCGATATTAATAGGGGCTATAATGTAAATTTAGGGTTAAAAGAGCTTAATTTAATGAAGTTATTAAATGTTAAAAAAAGGGCTCTTGCATTAATCGCGTCGTTGTGGATGTGACGAAAATGGGGGGCTGACGATGTTGTGGGGTGGCACGTTACAACAAATCCCAAATGTTAATGGAATTCATTCTCAGAAGAATGCCATTTTTCTGTAAAGATAGGCCACCGTCGCTCACTTTGGTGGTCACATATCGACTTGCTGTCCGATTGAAGTAATCTGATAGTGCTACCATTTGGCTATAAAGTGCCTCTCTCTGTGTCGAAGCGGAATCCAGCCCCTTTACGGAATTATGAATATTCTACAGGAGTCTTTCGAGTACTATAT